CCATGGAGTGAAATTCCTTCCTGATCCCAAATGTATTCCAGAGCAAAGGGCCAAGACCCTCTAACCAAGAACCTCTGGGTTTTAGTCCTAGCAGGAGCGCACGTGTGTGTGCATGTGACAGCAGTGTTTTCTCCACTTCACCAACAGTCTAGTTGGGATGCTTGAAACTGGATTCAACAAAGCATTAGCAAGACGTAGTAAAAATCTGCTTGGGCAGAGACAGACTGGCTGGCCCGGTTTCTTTCCAACTCTGGTTTCTCATCCTAGTGGAATAAGGCTGTGTTACTTACGATCTTTAGCTCTAAGGTTCCTTTGTCACTGCAAACACCTCCCCAAGGTGTTTCCCTTTCGAGTTGTCAGAGATCAAATAAGTGGCCAGACAAGCTGAGAGATGAATGTACCAGCTCCTAGAACTCTGTGATGCCATGTTGTTGGGGAAAGGGATTCACCCTACATTTGGCAGGGATGAATGGTAATTTGAAAGGGTTGAGCTGTATCGTGGCAGTGTCAGCACATTAATGTGACTTGACTGCAAGTAAAACTCAGACCTGCCCCCCATTACCATGGCACTTGTTGATAACTGTTTCATATTGCTGGGAAATTAGGTTCTCATGTGAAACCTGTGTATGTCTTTGTGTTGCTGGCAGGCACGAGAACCCTTTGTTTGACTTCATCGAGAGCTGCCTGCGAAATAAACATGAGATGGTCATTTATGAAGCAGCCTCTGCCATCATCCATCTCCCAAACTGCACGGCGAGGGAGCTGGCTCCTGCTGTTTCAGGTCAGTTGAGGCATGAATTGGGTTTGCCATGCTGCCAACTAACACGGTTCATTTGATCCATTTCATCCATCGTCTTGGCTGGGGGCAAATTGCGGATTATCTGGTGATTTATAATTGCAAAATAATGCTTAAAAAGTAAGATCACACCTTCAGACCAGCTTAAGGCTCCCGTGTCCTTCCTATGACACTGACATGGCCCTGCAGTAGTCCAGGTAATTCGGGGACTCCTTGTTCAGCCTTTGAAATGTCTGGCAAAACTCCTGTAGATGCAAAACCTGACCTAAACGCATTCTTAGGTTAAAGTTTGAATAGGTTCCCTAAATTTTTGTTACTGGTCAGATAAGAACTGAGATACAGCTGGAGCAAGCACAGTGTAAATACTTCAGACATTCCCATACTGGGGTTGCTAGATCACCTGTGATTTAAGCAGAGGTAGTTGTTCATATGTTATTTGCTGCCTGCCTGAGAAGGGTCAATTCCAGTTGCTCGAAGGGCATCCTAAAAACTGAATTCTACTCTTGCTTTTCTTGGAGGTGACAGAGGCTGGTTACAGAAGGAGCATTTGAGCCACACTTGAATACAGGGGGCACATCCAGATGAGTGCAGACATTTGTTTCCCTGGGGACAAGTACCAGTGGCACCAGGTGTGCCTTGTGCTGCTGCTACTTGTCCCCAGGGAACACCTGTGCCACACGTGCTCTGGCACACAGCAGATTACCCCAAGTGGGGTAGGGGAGGCTGGAGCCAGCAACTGTGCTGGCTCCAGCAGCCTTACCTGGAGTCCTAGGGGTTTCCCAGGGCTGCAGGCACAGCAGGAAGCCTGGCCAGCAGCCAGAGTATGATTCCACCTGGCCAGACTCTGGTTTTGGGTGGTGCGCACTATCGCCATGTGTGCCACCCCACTTTTTTTCTTTTTTTTTTAACCTGGATTTTTTGACCCTAGGATCTCCTGGGTTCAACAAAAAAAAAAGGGGGGGGGGGTTCTGCAGCACTACATCCGCACCTCTGTGCTCATCAGGACACAGCCAGGTTGTCTTAATCTGTGGCGGAAATTAGGCCAGAAGTTCCTCAAATAATAACACATTTGACTGCAACCTTGAAATGCCCTAATGGCAAAGGCAGTCTATGTGGGCAGATCGCTTACCAACCTCTCTCCCATTCATCCTGCCCATTTGAGACCTTTGTTTTCTTGAACTTGCTGTAGGTAGGACTGGCTTGTGGTATGTAGCCCCTGGGTGTTTCAGTTGCAATTCAAGTACTAGAGTGCTGCAGTTTTCCTGGCATCATCCAATACCTACTGTGTCAGATTAAGTAATTCTTTGCTGCCCTTACACTGGTGTGTTCTGGTCATGGGGAACAAAATGGAAGTCTTTGAGCTTGTTAAGAATGAGCATATGGGGGGGATGTTAACAGATCTGAATCCAAATGTTTCAAATCCACCATGCTTTGTAAAAGCACGTCATAAATCCCTTCTCCAAATGCTTTATTTTCAGTGCTACAGCTCTTCTGTAGTTCACCCAAGCCCGTCTTGAGATATGCAGCTGTAAGGACCCTTAACAAGGTGAGTGTTTCTGAGACCTCTTCTCCAGATATTTCCAGCATAAATTTCAGTGTGCAAAGACCCCAGTTGACCCCAGTTGTCTTTCCTGCCTAGTGCAGAGGGGCTGGACCTGATGATCTTGTGAGGTCCCTTCTACAATCTGTGAGCCAGACTTTATCACAGGATGGTTCACTGTGTAACGAAGGAAGGGTTTCACTTTTGTGATTGTAAAATTCAGCAATCGTAAGACCATATCCAGCTCTGCTAGAGGACCTGCCTTCCCCTGTATAGGTTTTGGCTACAGCAGAAATCTCTCCTGTAAGCAGAGTAATCTCTGCTCAGTTCTGAACCATGGACTCTTAATGCCTTCTAATTGGATCCCTGCTGTGGCTGTAACGCAGTACCATGTACCATAAGAAAGTAGCGGTTCTGAAATGTTAGTGACATAAAGCATTGGTTTCTCATCCCTAGCAATTTAGCAATCTCTAGATTTGGGTATGAGCTGGAAGTGTTTGGATAAGTGAGAGCAACCTACTATGATTTCACATGTGCAAACTGCAGGGAGTTAGAAATATAATACACAGAACAGTATTGCAACTGGCAGCACAAACAAATCCTTCCTACCAATTTAGCTGGCCTAGGGCATGTGATTGTATCTCCCGCTACTGCTGGCATTACCAGCTCTGATCACCTGCACTTTATAGCTGAGGGCATTATTCCAGGAGCTAACAATCATGAGGCTTTTGATGATGCAAGGGGGTCTCTGTTTTGCTTTCTATTGATGACTAAGCTGTCAATACCCATCATTCATTCCACAAGTACTTGGTCACTATGGGAGACCCCGAATGTTTTGATCTCTGCTGCTGTCGCAGGCTTTGAAGTCCATACCACGTATACTGCTGCTTTCATATTACTGACTTCTTCTCCAGGTGGCCATGAAGCACCCATCTGCAGTAACAGCCTGCAACCTGGACCTGGAAAACCTGATCACCGACTCCAACCGCAGCATTGCCACCCTGGCTATCACCACCCTCCTGAAAACAGGGAGTGAGAGCAGCGTGGACAGGCTTATGAAACAGATCTCCTCCTTTGTGTCGGAAATATCGGATGAGTTTAAGGTGCAGTATTGGATGCTTCAGGCTTTTCTGATTGCAGCCTTTCCTCCTCTCCTTACCTTGACGAAGCTTTGCCAATGGCAGAGAGAACTTTTTCAGTGACAGAATCCTAGAAAAGTAGGGTTGGAAGGGATCTCGTCTAGTCCAACCCCTTGCTCAAGGCAGGTCTGTCCCTAGCTAAACCATCACAGATGACTCTTTGTCTAATTTATTCTTAAACTCCAGGAACACCCCAATGTCTGAAGCATCATAAACACCCTCTAACATGCCACAGGAGGACAAGGATACTGTGAGTGTCCTGCCACTTGCAAGGACAGAGCATAGCTTTGAAATCCTCCAGAGATCCAAGGATGTTGTCATGTCCAGTGAAGCCACCTGCTGTTTTGAGAGAGGCAGGTCCGCCTTATCTGCAGCTTCTCATTTCCCTAGAAGCTCAGATGGTATCAGAAGCCCTCTGCCTACTCTCAACACGGGTGCTGTCACTGAGAACTGTCAGCACCAGGTTCAAGGGTCTTGCAGGAGGGAGGGTGGTTTTGGGATGATCTGACAGTATGCATGGTAAGGTGGATCTTGCAGCACTTTGGGATCTAATTAAAATGGTCTCTAAGCTACATCAAAACCCACTGAGATTTGGTATTTCCCGACCTCTGAACCACGAGAGTTAAAGCTGCTCATGCCTCCTTACCTCTGTCTTCTTTGCAGCCTTTTATAGCACCATCGTTTACTGTATTTACCAAAATCCAAGATGATCCTGAATATAAGAGGATACCCCCTCCATAACTAGACTCTTTGCATGAAAACTTCATAAACTTGGTATAATTTTTCATGTATAAAATGTAATTATTGGAGGGTCCTCTTAAATTCATCCCCTCCACACCCATTACTGCAGGCAGTGGGGGACATGCAATGAGAGGAACAGGAATGAGGCAGGGATAGAGAAAGCAGTTTGGGGGGTGGGGGGCAGGTGATGGGAGGGGCAAGCAGTTTGCCCCTTTTGCCTGCCTCCCTGCAGCCTTGGAGACCTGTCCCCCCTTTCTCTCTACTTACCTTTGCTCTGGGGCTGGCAGGCTCCATTGCAGCTGCAGCCTGGGGCACAGAGCACAGCCCCAGCCCAGTCTGGTAGCAGCAGCAGGGAGCTGCCATCACTGCCATGAGGCCATTCAGTGTGCTGTTAGAGGCAAGGCAACCCAGGGGGGAGGGTGAGCAAGCAGTGCAAGGGGGAGCTGGGGGAGAATGGGAGGGGGGAGACTACAGGAGAGAAGTGGCACGGGGGCAAGCAGCTGCTATTACAGCTCTGACCTGGGGTTGGGCCTAGAGCTGGAACTGCAGCAGGTGTCTACCCCCTCTCCCACCCCAACCACCAGCTGTCTCATACTCTATTCCAAGGCAAGGGGCCCTTCCCCCACGGAGGGGAGGGGTACCTCATCTTGGAATTGAGTAAATATGGTCCTCTTCAGCAGGGCCCCAGACTGAGGTAGGGAGCTGCAGGATTTACTCCCATGAATGTTGCAGGTAAATGTATCCCCTAACTAGCGCTGTACGACATGCTAAAAGAATTGCTTCTCCATCAGTGAAAACCAGTCGCTTGAGATGCAGCCTAACATCTCTCTACCAGTGCATGTTAAACCTACATCATGCTTTTGAGACAGGAAGGGCCAAATGCCAAAGCCATGTGGAACAGCAGAGGGCACTGCCATAGTAACACTTACTGGCCTCAAACTGGGTCTGGCTCTTGAGGAAATCCTCCCCTTCCCCTAGCCATTGTGACACTCTGGGAGGCCTTTGACTTGCTTCTCCTGAACATTGTCCTACGCCCAGCTGGCACACAGTCTCAGTAATGGGTTGGAGTACCACCTCTGGAATTGCCCACACCTAGGTTTTTTTTGGTTTCCCCCCCTGCCACCTTGAAGAGCTGCAGCCGTGAGAAGTTTCACAGAGAAGTTGATGCCTGTCTTTTCTACTTTCTTGCAGGTGGTGGTAGTGCAAGCCATCAGCGCTCTCTGCCAGAAGTACCCCCGGAAACACAGCGTGATGATGACTTTCCTCTCCAACATGCTCAGAGACGATGTAGGTCTCTCCAGCCACTAGCTGGGATGGCGGGGAGGGGAATCCTCTGCTCCATCTGAAATGTGACTGGGGTCCGTTTCAGAACATCAGACCTTGTTTGGTGCATCAGCCACCAGCCTGGGCAGATGCAATATCATGAGTAGTCCTAGAATTGGACTGGAAGGGACCTTGTGGGTCAGCCAGTCCATCCCCCATCCTGTAATGGCCTCAGGGCATAGGGATGGAGCCATGAAGCCAATGGTCACTCACTTCTGGCCCATGGGCCATATCTGGCTACAGAGCCCTGTCATCCGGCCCTCGTGTCCCCATAGGCCTGAAAATTTGGCAGCAGGGGAGCAGTAGCAGAGTTAATTGCTGTTCCCCTCCTGCCAAATTTCTGGACCCTTGGGGAGCCCTGCAGGCTGGATGACGAGGCTCTGGGCACTAGGACACCAATCCACCCTCAGATCCAGTGTGCAGGGCTGGAGGGTCGGTGCCACCGCATGATTCTGGGTATCAGTGAACAGCTTGGTTTCCTCAATCGAATGAGGCTGTTCATGGGATGAGGGCAACCGAGTGCTCCTTCTTGCCCAACACAGCGCTGTGTTCTGAGCAGCGCCTGCAGGCTGAGCGTTCTCGCTGCTCCTCCCCTCTCCCGCCAGGGTGGCTTTGAGTACAAGCGGGCCATCGTGGACTGTATCATCAGCATCATTGAGGAGAACCCCGAAAGCAAGGAGTCAGGCTTGGCTCACCTGTGTGAGTTCATCGAGGACTGTGAGCACACTGTCCTGGCCACCAAGATCTTGCACCTGCTGGGCAAGGAAGGTCCCAGGACCCCGGCTCCATCCAAATACATCCGTTTCATCTTCAACCGGGTGGTGCTGGAGAATGAGGCTGTGCGGGCAGGTGAGCTGCTGCATCGTGGGCATGATGGGTGTCGGGTGCAAAGGAAGCTATTGAGCTCTGAGCTGGAGGGGAGGGGGAGAAGGTACAGCTCATGGCTGTCTCTTCCTGTATCTAATCAGGGCATGGTTATGGACTCCTCTTATTAGTGTGAACTCTGGATACACGCTCTCTAGAGAGGCCTGATCACACATGCAGCAGGTAGCTGCTAGTTTCTGGCATGCTCCTGATGAGCCGTGATGTTGGAGGTTGAGTGATGGGAAGGAGTAAGGAGGGAATACAACTCCATGTCCCTGCAGTGCAGGTGTGGCATGCTGAGCTGCCTGGGGCATGAAGATGTCCTGTTTCAAGGGGAAAGCATTTCTTCTTAGAACTGCCTTGGAAGAACTGGAGAAGGTCCAGAAAAGGGCAGCAAGGATGATTAGTGCTATGGAGGGTCTTCCATCGTGGGAGAGACTAATGAGGCCAGGCCTGCTCAGTTTAGAAAAGAGACACTTGACAGGGGATGTAAGGGTTTACGAAATGCAGTGGCAAAAAAGTCAGTAGGGATGTATTATCGGCTTGTCTCTGAATACAAGAACTAGGGCTCACAAAATGAAACTAGTAAATAGCGAGTTTAATACAAGGAAGTTCTTTTTCACACTGTGTGTAATGAGTGTGGGACTCATTGCTGTCAGGTGTGGTGGAAGCCAAGAGTTTAGCCAGATTCAAAAAGGAGATTGGACATATTCTTGGAGAAAAGGGGCACTGGTAGCTATTAAGCATGGGAGTGAGGGGCACGGCCTCTGAATCAGAACTTCCTAGACCTTAAATGCTGGAGGCTGCAAGGGAGAGAAGAACAGGGGAAAACAAACCTAGTCAGACCCAGCTCACTCTCCCTTTCAGCCTCTGCTCTCTGCCCGTGTGACACGAGAGACTGGGCAAGATGGGCCTTGGTCTGACCCAGTCAGTGGCAGTTCTTACATTCTAGCGGTCCTCATAAACCTGCCACACTCCTTTCCTGGATGGATCTGCTTTGAAAATGTGCATTTAGCCTTCCCCCAGTCCAAGCTCGGGTCAGGGTGCAGTTATGTCCTGCTGCCCATATCATAGAAAATGAGGGCTGAAGGGACCTCATCAGGAGGTCACATCTAGTCCAACCCCCTGCTCTAAGCAGGACCAGCTCCAGCTGCATAATCCCAGCCAAGGCTTTGTCAATGTGGACCTTTAGAAAGCTCCAAGGATGGAGATGCCACCACCTCTCTGGGTAACCTGTTCCAGTGCTTCACCACCCTCCTAGTGAGAGTTTTTCCTAACATCCAACGTAAACTTCCCTTGTTGCAACTTGAGCCCATTGCTCCTTGCTCTGTTGTCTGCCCCCACTGAGAACAGCCCAGCTTCATTCTCTTTGCGACCCCCCCCGCCCAGCAGGGAGTTGAAGGCCGACTGCCTGAAGTCACTGTTACCTATCTGATACCGGTGATCTCTACCAGATGTATACTACCCGATATCACCTTGCCCCAGGCCAGCAGAGGAGCTGGTGTACCAGAAAGGGGAAGTAGCACCAACCAGTTCGTACTATAGCAAACCTTTCTCTTCCAGGTGCTATTTCTTTAGCCCTGAAGCAGGGAGCCAGAGGTGCAGCAGGGTGGAAACTTCACCCTAGTAACCTAATCACAGCTTCTCTGCTTGGGGATCTGAAAGTGTACTTAAGTAGGGAGTTAAATCCTCCCCTTTGTATCTGCAGAGCTTGAGCTGGCACTGAAGTGGAATTAGGTTTGTAAGCTTGGCTATAGTGTTACTGAGCCCAGTATCAATGTCCTCGGTTATTGTTCAGCCCAGGCAAACAATGATGAATAGCGCAGGCTGCTGTGGAAAAGGATCTTGTTTCAGGTGAATGATAATGGACGTGTGTACAGCACACATGACTGCTGGGGCCGGAGAGACCAAGGCAGAGTGTGCTGTGGGTTAGGAGCAGGACTGAGGCATGCGCATGGGGTGGGACGGCTCACAGGCAGAGCCTGTTGTACCAGAGAAGGGCTGAGATGGGTATCAGCTGGGCCAAAGGCTCCTGGGACAGTCAGGCGGGTGGCACAAACCTTGCGCTTGAGAGAGAAGGACAAGGAAAAGCAAGGAGAGAAAAATCTTTGCTGCCATGAGAGCTGGTGATGGGGGAGGCAAACTGCCTTGGGGCAGTAGTGCACGGGGCTGCACTGCCTCTGCGTGAAGGGCATTAACCCCTCTTCTGTCCCTCTGCTTTCTTCTCCAGCTGCCGTGAGTGCCCTGGCAAAGTTTGGGGCCCAAAACGAGAGCCTCCTTCCCAGCATCCTGGTGCTTCTGCAGAGGTGAGCTGGGGAAAGCCCCCCGCGAGTACCCTGCTCGCTGGCACGATGCGAGTCTGTGGGGATCCCGCCTCATGCTGTGTCCTTTGACACCTGTAGGCTCAGTGAGGCTGTACGGAACCCACCTGCAGGCGGGCTCTTCCCACAGCAAGACCATGCACTGAGCAGGTGCTGGGGCCAGTAGCAGCACTCTCCTTTCACTACACTGGGGAGCCGCTGAAGACATTGAGCTCTGAATGACGCACATGGGGGAGGTCTCACCTGTTCGGTCACTTCCACATCCTGTGACGTGAGGAAGGGCACGTGGGGTCTGGTCCTTCAAACAGCGATGGCAGCATATCTCTTGTGCTTCCTGAGGAATTACTCTCTTGCGCTTCCCTAGGAACAGGCTACATAGGGAAAGTGTACTGGAGGGGTTCAAGGAGAGGGTGGACAGCCACTGGTCAGGGATGATCTAGTGTAGTGGCGCCTGTGTACCTTGGGTATTTCCCATGTTTCCAGGCTTTGCTGGTTGCCCCCACACCTCCCTTTCTGCTGTGTGTCAAGGTGTTTTTAAGCCGTCCTCTGAGGCATTGGGTGCTGGCTGGAGCCCAGGCTGGGGACTGGGCTGTGCCAATGCTTCTGCTGGGACCAAAACTGGGTCCCGGCTAGAGGGTCTTGCCGTTCCCCTCTGGGTCAGACCAGTCACCATGTTTGAGGTCAGGAAGGAAATTTACCCCATGGTCAGATTGGTAAGGGTGGCAGGGAGGGCTGCCTTCCTGTAGCGGAGTCCTGGCCTTTTCCTGAGATCTCTTGAGCCTCTATTAACAGTGTTTTATAGAAGCAGAACATTGGCTGCCATGGTTCCCCTGCTTTACCTGTGGCAGGTTTGGTTGGGATGTCTTGTTGTGTCAAGGTTGATAGTCATTTTAGGAAGAGGTTAAACAATGGATTTATATAGGATGGTTTGCCTAGAGCTGATCCTGCCTCAGGCAGGGGGCTGAACTAGGTGACCACTGGAGGTCCCGTCTCTGTGACTATGATTTGACATGGAAGCGTTGGCCCCATTTCACTCACAAATGAAGTAACTCCCAAGGTCAAGTTGGGGCTGGTGGTTGGGGTTGGAAGCCAGTTTCTCCTGGCTCGCAGCTCCATGCTCATCCCAGGACGGCTGTTCGGCTTCCTCCGTCTTCCCTATGCAATCAGTTCCAGCTGGGTGCTGCCCCCCTTCACTTGGGTAGCCCAGCTCTGCATTTTAGACCAGTGCTGGGTTTTGTTCCTAGGGAGGACGGAAGAGTTTGACGTGGCATGAGCTGCAAGACTGGTGGGCTGAGAAGGAGCATGTCTGTATAGCACTAAATGTCACCCACTCGGTCCCAAACCCCGAGCAGATGGCTGCACTGATGTGTTGACATAATGTTTCCTTTCCTGTTCCCTGTGGTTGGGTTCACATGCCTGAGAATAAAACTACTTGAGAAACCCCAGGAGCTGCCTGGTGCCGGGGGGGCATAGGCATTGATTTTTTTCTTTTGCAGGGAGGGGCCTAAAATGATGCCCCTCTCGTCCCCTGTGGCATGGGTGGAGCAGGGTGGGGTTAGATGCACGCTACCTGCTGCAAGCTAGGGGCTCCCTGCACTGCTGTCCTCCCCACAGGAGCTCTGTGCCAGCTGTGCCACCATGGCAAAGTGCCTCCCTGCCTGCCCAGTAGCAGTGGGGGTGGCAGCACATAGTTGTACCCCCCGCTGGGGTGCCTTGTCAGGTGGCATGGCTGGCACAGGGCTCCTGGGGGATGGGCAGCAGCATGGGGAGCCCCTAGCTTACAGTGGGCAGCCTGCATCTGCCCCTGCCCCACACAGATTAGGGGGGAACATGCCCCTTCCTAGCCCCCAGGAGTGTGTGCTGTAGCAGGGAGCCACCCACCCCAACTCTTGGCCCCCTGGATGAGCCACCTGCTCCCCATCTGTCCTGCTCCGCACCTGGGCCTCATGCACCACCTTGGCTGGGCAGCATCCCCAGCCCCACTCCCCCCCCTTACCATGGGGGGGCCTCAATCTACCCTGCCCTCCCCTCCCCCAGTAGACTTACCTGCAGGCAGCTGGGGGACCTGCTTTCCACCGTGGCCCAGGGCTGTATTCCCAGCTGCGTGCATGTGCACGTGGTGCCTCCTGCACCCTACAGGCCCTTGCAGTCTAGGACTGTGCCAGCCAGCAAAGGGAAACCTGCCATTTCCCATGGTTTTTCACAGTGAATGGAAAACTCGGATCCACTCACAACACTGGGAATCCAGGACAAATGGTGTCCCAGAGTCATGCAGCTGGGACCAGGACTTGATGTTGCCCTTTCAGGACTGTCCTGCCTAATTAGGGATGAATGGTCACCCTGCCTTAATTACTGTATTAGCATATGATGTTGCATGTAGCACTGGCATACAGTGTT